ATATGGTGTTAATCATATTTCTTGTAGCTAGGTATAAACCAAATGCTCCTTACATTTGAAAGCCATCCATATATTTCAGTATAATTATTACTTCATTAAAAGCATGTTCTTAATTTCCAAATATCTGAAGAATTTCCAGCTTTCTTTTACTTATTTTTAGTTTAACCCTTTTATGCTCTGAGAGCAAACTGCAAGATTTTTATTTTTAATTTTAAGTTGTGTTTTAATGACATTGTATGTTATATGTCTGATGAATGTTCCATGTGATTTAGAGAAAAATGTATATTGTGCTATTTTTGGATAAAGTAACTGAAAATGTCAATTAGGTCCAGTTTATGCTCTTTAATTAAACTATACCCTTATTGATCTTCTGTCTACTAGTTCTACTGATTACTAATCAAAGGGTATTGACATTGCCAATATGATTGTGGTTTTTGTCCACTTATTCTTATATTTTATCAGTTTTTGCACCCCATACTTAGGTGCACTTTTGTCACACATGTACACATTATTATTATGTCATCTTGGAAGTTTTACCCCATTACATCATTCAGTGTACCTCATTACTGCTGATACTTTTTCTTGTAAGTCTGTTTTTTCTGAAATGAATAATGTTACTCCGAATTTCTTTTAATTATTGTTAGAATGGTATATTGAACTCCATTTTTTTCTCCATTCTCCAACATAAAATCGCATCTTTTGTTTATTTGTACATTGCGAAATTCTGTATTTTCTTGGTATAGTCACATCATTTGCATTTGAAGTAATTATTATATAGTTGGATTAATATCTGCCTTATCTGTTGCTGTTTTCTACTTATGACTATGTTATTAAGCATTTTTATGACACCATTTTCTGTCCTGTTGTATAATATCAATTGTATTTGTTTTGCATTTTTATTTTTTGTGATGTGTCTCTGTGAATTTGCAATGGACATTTACAATTGGTTGAAATTCATATTCAAGTAATATTATAATACTTCATAATTAAAGCAAGTACCTCATAACAAAGTATTCCTGCTCTCTCCTTCCTGTTCACTATAACATTGCTGTCATTTCACTTATCCATACATATAGTCACCACGCATATGAGGATGTTTCAAAAGAATTAGTGAAATTAAATTAAAAGATGTTTATTTTGGTGCAAAAAATTGAAATCTTTTTATATAAGATGTCTTCAAAAAGTTTATAGAAGATTATTATTAGGAGAAAACCATGAATGACTTCATAATTTTTTTGTGACAAACCTAACATCTTTTAATTTCATTTTCCCATGAACTTTGAAATACCCTCATATTGTTGCTACTATTATTGTGAGCAACTATGCTTCTCACATACATTTTTAAATAATACTCTTCATTTTTGTATGGAGATCCCAGTTTCTTACTTATATAATTTTACTTGTCTCTGAAAAGCTCCTTTGAACATTTTCTTTGGATAATACTAGTAACAACTTACTTCAGTTTTTGTTTATTTGAGAAAGTCACAGCTTCTCTGGATCCAGAGCTACAGGTTGCTGTTCTTTATCTTTCAACACTTTAGAGTGCTGGCACTGAGTGTGTCTCTTCACCTACTGGGGAAACCTAAGTTGGCTAGAGGTCAGGGAGAATAACATCCCTTGAGGAGGTGTCAGCTGAGGGGAGCAGAGCTCTAGAGCTCTAGCATATTTGGAAATGGTTATCTTTCTCCTCCCAGTGCTAAAGGAGATTGTTCTGTAATCCTCACCATAAATAAGGTTTGTGAGGCTCCTTGAAATACATTTTCAGAAAGTAGGGATACTTTCCTGAGATTATCCTCCATAGAGCCCTCCCTTCATTTCAAGCTCTTGCATACTGAGCCTCCAAGCAGTTCATATCAATTAAAATTTTAAGTGTCTCTATCGTTATTGGTGCCAACAGCAGACTTCTGTTCCTGGTAGACTAGTGATTCTCATATCCATCTGCCTGTCTCTGATTTTCAGGGCACCAGGTTGCATTGTAACTTCAATTTTCTGATGGATGCAAGATTAGTTTATTTTGATTTTGTTTGGCATCTTTCTTTTTTTTTTTATTTTTTTGACAGGCAGAGTGGACAGTGAGAGAGAGAGAGAGAGAAAGGTCTTCCTTTTCCGTTGGTTCACCCTCCAATGGCCACTGCGGCCGGCGCACTGCGGCTGGCACACCGTGCTGATCCGAAGCCAGGAGCTAGGTGCCTCTCCTGGTCTCCTATGCTGGTGCAGGGCCCAAGGACTTGGGCCATCCTCCACTGCACTTCTGGTCACAGCAGAGAGCTGGCCTGGAAGAGGGGCAACCGGGACA